AGATTCGTTTGCATATGAGCAAAAACTTCTTCACCAAAAGGGTAGTCAGGCATTGGAACAGGCTGCCCAGGGGAGTGGTTGAGCCCCCATCCCTGGAGGGATTGAAAAGCTGGGGAGATGCGATGCTTAGGGGCATGGTTTAGAGGTGAACCTGGCAGTTAGGTTAACGGTTGGACTCGATGAGCTCGGAGGTCTTTTCTAACCCTAATGATTCTAGAATTCTATGAATTAAGCACACCACACCGAGCTATGCTTCGTGGCTGGTACCAGACCTCCGAAGCAGCAAGGTCAGATTTGCAAAGTCATTTAGCTGTCTAAATCCCCTTGGGTTCAAAGAGAAGCCCTGTCCTTCGGCAGCGAGGACGCTGCTCCTGGAGAGCGCTGCACTCCCTGAGCCTGCTCTGCCTTTAGGGATTTGCCCCCAAAGTTACTGATAAGGAAAAATCAAATTAGTGCACTCTCAGAGGAAGACCCTCTTTTTCTGCCCCTTCCAACAGAGAGCTTCATTCGATTGCTCAGCAATAAAATCTGCTTCCGTGGGTGTGCTGAGCAGGAGGTCCAGAAGCACTGAGCTGTGCCACGAAGTGCGCAGCAGCCAAGGCAGCGACGGGGCCCGTGCTCCAGGAGATGAGTCAGCTGAAAGGAAAGCGATTTTTCCTATTCTTGTTTGCCCTTCCCATGCTGAATCTCTGGGGCAACCGACGTAACGCCCTGCCCCTTCCCCTGCGCCTGCAAAACAGCTCAAAGCGTGAGAAACACCCAGGCCCAGGGAAAGGAACCGGCACAGCCCTTTCTAGCTGTTTCCCATGTCTGTGTGCCCACAAATGATGGAGCTTCTTGGCTCTGCCATGGACCTTCACCTCTGCGAGAGCTGGCCAGGCTCCTGCCTCCGTCCCGCTGCTCTGCCCCTGCTGCCAGGCTGCTGCAAGGAGAAACCCACCAGGTTTGTTCAGTCTTCTGCTAATGCGGGGACCGGGGACCAGGGACGGGTACAGCTTGCAAACAAACCAGATCCTGGGACACTTTATTCTGACCATCTGTGTTGCTAGCTGCTGGTCCACACTCTAAGAAGCCCCTATTCCTCCTGCAATCCCCTACAGGGTCAGTCATTAGCATTTCATTTACCTATAGGATGGGGGAGCCTCATGAGCCTTAAGGGACTCTTGCACGCATGCAGCCAAACACATACGACTGTGGGAAGATGGGGATTTGGGGAACTCGCTCTGTCTCTATGAAATACGTTGTGAACGTGCAGAATAGCTGGTTTTGACTATAAATTGCTAGTTATAGAAAGCTGCACATATCGCATAACAAATAAAAAAGAATCGGTGAGTTACTGTATTTTTAAAAGCCTTAACTGCAAAGTAGTAGCACATACAAATAATCAGGGCAGCTGCAGTGATTAATGAATTTTTTACTTTGGGGATACACCTTGTAACTTGGGGAAAAAACAGCTGAGCAGTTCTACTTCACAATTCTTGCTTTCTTTTATTTAATTGTAATTCACTCATATCATTTACTTAATTGTAAGTGCATAGTTGTAATGCTTCCATGATTTGTACATAAAGGAACATCGAGCATCATCTCAAAGGGCAAAGTGATTACATTTGAGTAATTTCGCATACTAAAAATCTTAACCTTTAGGTATCTGATTAAGATGCGTCGTTTCTCCTTATATCAATATAATGAGTGTCGCCGCAAACACATCCTCAGTAGAACAGATATGTTTCAGCAAAATAATTCTGCACATGTGTTTGAGTTCAGCCATGGTAATTAATGTGCAAGAACACTTGGCCAGGAGGAGCACTCTTCGGAGAGGAGCCTGTGTTCCCAGCCGTCTGCTGCTGGGTGGGAGCAAACAAAATGCACGGGAGAGCCTTTCAGTTCAAAGAAACAATGCCTTTTGGTTACGTCACTGAGCGACCGGGGGTTGCGTAAAGTCTGAAACAAGGCAGAATTGTCCGCTGATATTTCTGATCATCGGTTTTAGGCCGTAAATGGCCCGTCCGTAAGTGTTCGCACAGTGCGGCGCAGGCGTGGGACTGTCGGACTGCTGTGCGAGAGGGTGTTGTGAATGCCAGAGCAAGAACAGGCTCATAGCTTAACTGTAGCAAACTCGGCAGTGGATGTCTTTGTTTTTCTGGCTATTAAATTCCAAAACCAATATGGTATTCATTTAAGAAGTGGGTATGATTTTCGCCAGGTGACAGAGCAAAGTAATAAAGAAAGAGACATACAGCTCCATCGCTCTGCCCTGCTACTCTGGGTGCATTTGGAAAAGCTTTTAAGAGATGAAGGGAGTAGGGAATGGGCAGAACCTGTTTCCAGCTAAGCGCAAACAGAAGGGGAGTGATTTGACTGAGCTAGGAAGAAATGATTTGCACCCAAACCAAAAAGAGACACAGGAGCAGTTGTGAAAATCAATTTCTTTTCCAGATCCACGCTAATGATGTGTTCTGCCTTACACTGGTGTCGATGGCAAGAGAGAGCTTGATCTTTAGCTGCTTGTCAGAAATAGGGGGAAGGATCGCATGTAATGCCACTGGATTGAATTAGACTTCAGGCGGTGAGTTAAAGCATACACAACCTGCTTGTGTTGACGGGTACAAGTTTCTTGTCTAGTGTTACGTTGAATTTCTCTTTCAGTATTTTCTCAATTTCTTCATCTGCAAGGATTCTGCTTTCCACCAGATCCATATTATCCTTGTAATTGTACTTTACCTCGGTGAATTTCCACCCCACCAGAGCCCGGACGCCGTCCGTGGTCTGCAGGCTGCAGAAAGACTTGGTCACAAACAGCGAGTTCGGTGCGGTCTGCAGGTGGGTGTTGCAGGCTCTGAACTCTTCAATGTCTCGTGGCTGAAGGGTAAAGAGATAAATGCGACGGCAAACTTCTTTTTCCACGTTATGGGAAGCGGAGGCGCTTTGGTTGGGAACCCACTGCTTCCTTTTTACCTTCTCGAGGTACCAGGTCCCGCTCTCCTCGAGGAAGCGAAAGACCCCAGGAGTCTGCAGTTGGTCTGTCCCCGAAATCAGCTCCATGGGCTGCCACAGCTGGTAGACCATCCCAAACCCGCCGTCCACGATGTAGGATTTGCCGTCAAGCACCACTTTTAGCAGCAGATGATCGATTTCCTCTGCATACGCGCCGTACTCCGGGACATAAACTCTCGATGCCAGAAGGGTGACGTCGTAGCCGAGGGTTTTCAGGACCCAGGATAAAAGGTAGTTGTTTTCCATGCACCAGCCGCCGCGTTTCTTCCTCACTATCTTGTTGTACGTCGCTTGCAGGTCCAGCTCAATCCCTTCCCCGCAGTGGATGCTGAGGTTTTCAAAAGGGACCGCTCGGATGTGGTGCTGGAATATATCCGTCAAGGTAGCCAGGTCCAGCTTATCATAGGAGCCCTGGTAAGAAATTCTGGCAAAATACTCCTTGATGTCCATGCTGCCTCCGAGAGAAGCGTGGAAAAAAAAAATAATAGGTTGTGTCAGGAGTGACGGAAGGATCTTCCCCGTGCCTTCTAACGGGGTGCTCCTCAGTATGGGCAGCCTGCTCAGAAGAGGAGCGGGATTTGACTAATGGCCCTATCAAAGGCAGCTGAGTGTGAGTATTAGCGCCAAGGGAAGCCAATGGGACACTGCTGATGAGCACAAATGTTATTTTTAATTGTTTCTTTTACAGCTGTGACGAGAGTCTCCAGCTGTGCTAAGCACATTTCAGTAGAGAGTTCCTGCCCAGCAAAGCTACAAATCTCCCTAGGAAGGAACAAAAACAGTAGAAGCACTGTTTCTCTGCTAGAAATTATAGGAACTCAGACTCTCCAGACCTCAACTGCTTTACTCGTGGTTTGACTCAGCAAAGCCGAAGCAGAAAACAAACCCTCCCGCTCTTGCAGAGCAATCCAGAGCCTCCCCTGCAACCAAATCTGAAATAAATCTGCCCTGCTGTGGTATTTCCTTCATTATTTAGGCAGCCTGGCATGAGCTGCTCTCACCTGCTCCTGCTCTCCGTGCTGGCGGTAGCAGACGTGACCTCGAGTGCAGAAGGGGTTTTTCAGGGCAGAAAAGGCTGTGGGATTTTTTTTGCTGCATCTGCTGTGACCCACCTCCCCGCAGCACAGCTTAGCCCCCCCCGGCTCGGCTAATCCCAGCCCTATACCAGCAGCAGGAGGGAACCAAGGTTTGGGCCAAAACTACGTGTTTTCAGGGACCCTCCCATTTTCTGACGTCATTTTAGGGATGCATTTGCTCTTTCAGCTCGTAGTCTCACCAGCGGTGGGTGGCTGCCTGTGGGTGACAGGGAGCCGGCATCACCCTCCCATCCCAACCACAGCAGAAGGGCTCAGCCGGAGGCTGTGTTTCACGAGCACAGGGGTGGAAAGCAGCCCGAGCCCTCCCAGCCCTTGATGGTAAGGAAACAAGAAAGGAACTTTAATGTAGCCAAATGCTTTTGTACTTCCTCCCCAGGCACCGTTAAATTTCAGACATCTCTGAGTACAGAGCGATGATGTTCAGATTACTGACCCGAAAGGCCCCAAAATGTTCTCAAGTTCCTGTGTACGATTCTTAAGGAAAAATCATAAGAAAAGCTCCAACTGTTCCAACAGGATTAAATTCTCAATCATCTGATGAGCCGGCATCACCCTCCCATCCCAACCACAGCAGAAGGGCTCAGCCGGAGGCTGTGTTTCACGAGCACAGGCGTGGTGCTTGATGGTAAGGAAACAAGAAAGGAACTTTGATGTTGTGTGACAGGTACAAACACACACCCCCCCGTGAAGATCGGGGCTTTAACATGGCGATCACCAGCTTTTCACCTCTCATTTTCGCACCTCTTGTGCTCTGCCGTGCCCGTGCACCTCTCGGCAGGGGGAGCAGGAGGAGCGGGGCCTCTCGGTCGCCAGGTGGGGCCCGCAGCCAGTGCGGCGCCTCGTCT